TTTTGCTTTGTTACATAACAGTTTCAATGAAGCATTTAATCAGAAAGATCCATGCGTAACATATTTTGAGTTGTGAATTGGTTTATTCTCTACTCTTTACTGAAGTTTGTCTCCATTGACTGGTGGCCTGTTGAAGATTGTAAATGTCTTTGTTTTGCTTTTAGGGCACCGTGTTTCTTGAAGTTGGAGTTCTTGGACTCCCTGCCTCATAGGTCTCCAGATGTGCTTATGAAGAAACATGTATTTCTGTGCCTAATCCTAAGCTCACTAAATCAGAAACTCTTGGCAAGTGGGAGCCTGAAATCTACATTTTCACCTGTTTCTTGACTATTGTCTGTGTAGGGGTGAATGTTAAAGATTTAAAGGCAAAAGAGATTAATATGCATCTTACAAATAGAGAAGGAGAGAAACGATAGGGAGGTAGCATAAGGAGACACTCTGGAAAATAGATTTTTTGAGGAAGAAAAAAATTATACTGCAAAATTATTTTTATATAGACAAGTTAGTTATATATTTTATCCTTTATCCACGCTCTTTATTTAGCTAATTCATCTTTCTTTTCTCTGATTTCACTTTTTTCATTTAGTCTGTTTTAACACCTTTGTTAAAAGAAGGGAAACAGGAAAGATAGGTGAAACTTAGGAATGTAATATGTTCTTAAAAGCAATTTAACTTTCTCGGCCAGGCGTGGTGGCTCACACTTGTAATCCCAGCACTTTGGGAGGCCGAGGCAGGTGAATCACCTGAGGACGAGAGTTTGAGACCAGCCTGACCAACATGGAGAATCCCCATCTTTTCTAAAAATACAAAATTGGTGGGGTGTGGTGACACATGCCTGTAGTCCCAGCTACGTGGGAGGCTGAGGCAGGAGAATTGCTTGAACCTGGGAGGCAGAGGTTGCAATGAGGCCGAGGTTGCCATTGCACTCCAGTCTAAGCAACAAGAGTGAAACTTCGCCAAAATAAAAAAAAAATTAAAAAAAAAAAAGCAAAGCAATTTAATTTTCCTTAAATATATCTATCTTGACCTTTTTTACGCCATCTGGCATTATTTAATTTGTCATTTGTATATTATCATATATTGGGAAGTAAAAAATAACTAGAATTGTTTTTCAGACCTCGATGTCATTTACTATATTAAATTTGTTTATTTGTTTATTTTAAGGAAGAGCACATAAATGTATAGAACACTTTTAAACATATGCAAGGTAACATCTATTGTTAAAGTGTGCCTTACACTTGACCTTAATCACTTTCCAATGATTTTAGCACACTTACTGTTTTCCATGCCATGATAAGAAATTGTAGGACTTTTTTAAGCCTTTCAATGAATTGAATCCTCTGAAAATTGCTTCTAATAAAAAGGAAAACCTTTCATGTCACCAAATTCCAGTCACAACAGCAATCTTGAATTTGCTTGCCACTTAATTTCCAGCACAAGAAAGCAATAATGTTTGGGGGACCATTATGCAGACCATGCCTCTGACTTCTGGGCCCACATTTAATTTCCAGCCTATGAGGATTAAAACCTGAAATTATGTTGTTATTTCAGTTTAGAATTATTTGTATTTTCATAATCATCATTAGCAAGATTCAGGGAATTATTGTTATAATCAGCTGTAATGATAGCTATTATTATTAACAAGGCAGGGCAGACGATAGGTTTGGCTGAATCTGAGGATCAGCGTGTCTATCACTGTGGTCTTTGTGCCAAACTGCACCTGAAAATGGAAGGGACAGCTGGTCTAGTTTGGTTACACTTGCTCAACATCTTGGAAAGACATCAGTAGGGCAGACAGTTTAGGGCCTGGTCCTTCAGTGACTTGAGAAGAGAGACCTTCATGACCAAGAATGTGTTTATTCACTGGAAGGTGAAAAATCAAGATAGGTTCAGGACATTCCTTGAAATGTTGGTGGTGTACAGGTAAAAAGTCAGGCAGAGATTAAACAAAATTCCCAGGGTAAAAAACACAGTCTACAAAGAATGATAAAAATCTCTTACAGATTATTTTCAATGGAAGTTGTCCACTGCTACTCTAGTCCTCATTGGTGATCTTTGCAGATGCAAACTTTCCTCTAACCCTCTGCCTGCTGTCTCTTCCAATTTGAATCACAAAACTCGTTAAGAGCAGTTTTACCATAATTCCCAAGTGATCTCAAAAACATATATTGGGTCCCCAGGGGAATGGCACAAAGCTGGGAGAAGACGATAGGGGCAGGCTGGAGAGGACATTGTGAGAAGGGAAGCCAGAGCTGAGCTGCTTTTACTTCCACCAAGCTGCGTTTTGGGAGAGGGGTAGTCAGGGCGGGGCTAAAGCAAAGCCAACTTCTAGTCTCTCATCTGGAGCCCTGCTTGCCTTTCTCTAAGCGTGAAAACTTCAAAATTTGTTTGGAGTTTGTCCTTTGCCTTTAATGAAATGTATAATGGCATTTCCGTCTTCCTAGTAAGATTTAGCACAAATAACAGTAATTCTAAAAATGCCCATTTTATTTGAAAAATTTAGAAATGTCAACTATCTTTTCTGACATTGAATGAATACACACATAGTCTCTCTCTCATAAACACACACTCACACTCACACAACCATAATATTTATTTTACCTCCTCTCAAGTGAGACTACATTTATTCTACCCCATTTTGAGGGGAGGAGGCAGCAAGAGATAGGGCCTAAAGAGCCTGGTTAGCAGAAGGTGATAGAGAGTTGGGGCTGTGGGAAGGGCAAGGAAAAAGACCACACCTTGCAACAAACACTATGCTGGGTTGATGGACTAGAAGCTTTGTTATTCCTTCCTTTTAAAACAAAAGTAAGGGCCAAGTAACCAATGACAAGTGATATGAATTATCAGTATCACGACACTACGTTCTGGCCCCACTCCACTGTGACCTTTGTTATGGCTTTGGTAAGATCACTTCGCCAATCTGTGCTTTCAGTTTTCTCATCTGTGAAATGTGTTTAATCATATTGACTTGTTTCCCAGGGAAGTAATGTGATATTTAATATTTGTGAAGCACTTTGAGATCTGATGATAAAAGGTGCATTATACTAAGTAGTGTTTGCTTCTCTCCTCCTCTCCTCACCCCCAACAGATAATCTATACTCCTATCGTATGCATATTTTTGCAAAGTTCATGTAAATGACTCCAGGCTGTTTTACTTTTTAAAAATTAATGCTGTGATATTTCTCTAGAACCTGACAAGGCCATAAAAAATAAAAAGAGTAGCAGTGGTATACAATGAAGGGTAAAATCTTGTAAAAATCCATAAGAAAACAGATTACTGTTCTGGGCTTATATGGGGTTATTATAAGCAACAGTGAGGAATAATGATTACAAAAATAAGGAAAAATACATTGACAGTGTCATTTGAAAACAATCGTGTTAAGAGGCTTTTTACACTCATTTTACACAATGTGGGTATCCAAAATAGGTTTTAGAGGATATTAAAAGGATTGCTTTTCAAGGTATTAAGTGTGCAAAGCACAAGAATGAAAAAGAGAGTTGGCTGATAGAATTCAGCTCAGAGAAATGACCTAGCCATACAATGTAGAGGGAAAGTGTAACAATTACTTCCTCTCTGGGCTTTTAGCAGTTCAAATATCTTTAAATAATACGAAATTTCCTTTTACATATATTCGCCTAAAATATTTTCTTTGTTTTTCCTCTCTTGCAGTTTCTCTAGACATTTGCAAACTCTTGATATTGGAAGTGAACTACATTTCATGGTTATTGATTTGATTGCCAAAAAGTGTGAGGAACTATGGTTCCTCTTTTCCAATCCTGAATGGCATATTTCTGCTTCTCTGTCATCCCACTCCAAACCAGTTCCTCATCTTCCCTTCCGTATTTTAGTTAATGTAACTATCCTTCTCCCACCTAGCCAGACTTGAAACCACAGCCTTGTCTGACCTTATCATTACGCTACATGTCATACCTAATGTGCCAACGGAGTCCTTAAATGACCACGTGCTTCTCAGAGTTTAATGCAGCCCACATGAATCACCTAAGGATCTTGTACGAATGCAGATTCTGATTCTGGAAGTCTTGGATGGGGCCCAACATTCTGCATTTCTAATAAGTTCCCAGGTTGTGCCCATGTTGCTGGTACATAAACCATGCAACATGGGCAGAGCCCATGCAATATGACTAGCAAGGCATTAACCTTCATTTTCAGGCAAGACTTTGGCTCTATACTGATATGATTCTCTCTTTAAGGAAAATTTCCAGCCCAGGCAGGATAAAACTGATCATCTTGAGCATATTTCCCTTTGAGTTAACTTTTTGAGAGAAATAAAACAAGAAACGTCATAAGACACAAACCTCAAACAACTGTTGAGCAAATGGGGCTTCTCCATCAATCATATTCTCTTCTCTGACAGCTGTTTGCATTCCATTCTCTTACACATTGTTGTATGCTCTGTTTTGTCATAATGTATTCCTTCAACCATTTTTTGAGAGTACACTATGTGTGAAACACTAAACTACACTCAAGGAATAAAAAAAAAAAAAAAATGAAATGGTATGATGTCCCACCATCAACAAGCTTATAACCTTACACAGAAAAGAGCCAAGTAAGCAAAGAAATACAGTGAAGTGTAGTATTTCCCTATGCCTAGACTGTTGTTCTCACTGTTCTGAACTCCTTTCTCATCCCCAAATCCTCATTACCACACACACACACACACACTTTGTACTATAGCAACATTAAACTGTTACTACTATACTCTAATACTCATAATTGTAATCCCTGCAAATGTTGAATTATCAATGATCCAATTTCTATGCATTATCAAAAATTATGATATAATAATTGTTTTAATGAAAGCTATTATGGTTTTGAGGCTGGATTGTTTTCAGGTTTATAAGGATTGAGAATTCCAGAAGCAAATATGACCCTAAATACATGATACAAAACATAAAAATTGCTGAGAAAATGTAGTAAGTATAACACTGTAGTAACAGCCCTGGTCATAAAGAAAATTCAAATGCAGGATGACTAGTGATTGGCTTCCATTCTCTCCATTCCATTCCTGTTCTCAAATGGAGACTCTAGGAGCAGGGCATGGACAGAGGTGGAGGGGAGATTCTTGGGTGGGAGGAAGCAGCAGCCAGGAAGCTCCGTCTTGGGAAGTACAGAGGCAGAATGTAGTCTCGGAGACTTCTAATTCCTCCTGTCCTATTTTTTCCAGAGTGGAACATTGAAATTGGCATTTGGCACTCAGAAGACTCCAGGAATCTGTTGCTCTTCTGAACGTTTCAGGTAACCTTGGGATATAAAAATATACCCATTGATATTTAAGCTACCATTAGTTAGCACTAAATGTAACTATAGTAGGGGCAGGACAACTTGGGATCATGTGAACACACCAGAAACTACAGACTGCAAGAAAAATGCGCAGATTGCCAGGTGGTTTCTATAACCTTGCAGCGATGAAAGTCCATGTCTTACACACTTGGAGTTTCCTCTGTTTGATTCTAATGAGCTTCTAACCTCTGCTAATGGTGTTTCTCTTTCTACCTCATCAGCCCAGGGCTCATTCATTTTATCTTGTTTCATCTACGCTATCATAGAAAACCCAAGGCCACTCAAACATAACCTTGATCAATACTAATTCCTGATCAAGTCAACCCAATATCCAGCAACAATTAGATAATGTAAATTGTATTTCCTCACTAGTTTATTATAAATTATAATAAAATATAAAGCATAGTGTTTATAATATGCCAGACATTATCCTAACCGTTCTGCATGAATTGACTTTTTGTCCTCATAGCAGCCTTATGAGCCATTTATTACTGTCATTTCCATATTAGAAATGAGGAACTTGATGGACAGAGAGGTTAAGCAACTTGCCCAAGGTCACACAGTAGGTAACTGTCAAAGCTAGGATTTAAAACCTAGACAGTTCAGAGTTTATACTCTTTATTGTATCTGAGCCGTGAAGGTTCTATGCCACAGGGCGTAGAAGGTTATATTTGGATATTAGATATTTTATGGAGCTACAGAAGGTGTTTCAGAAAGGGGTATGATCAGATCAAATGTCTGAAAAAGATCATAATAGTGGCTGGGGATATTTCTATATTTCCTGTCCAATTATTTCTCCTTCAGCCTACCGTAATAACTCTTTGTGGTTGAAACCTTGGGCCCTTGAGTCAAAAAAAGTCTTGAAAAAAATCCCTGTTAATTACAGTAACAAACACTATGAGCGTTACTGAGGTTCCATGGTAACGTAACATGGATTAAGGCTTTTAACCTTCATAATAATCCCTGAGGGAGATACTATTATTCTCCCCCTTTTCAGATGAAAAAACTGAGATTGGTTATAGAAATATGTCCATCATTATATCAGTAGGTATGGAGCAGAAATTAAAAAACCAGTTTGTCTAAATTACAGAATAAGTTACCGTTGTGTAACCTATTGTAATAAAGATTGCTAGTTCTTACACTTGTTAGTGGTGAGATATTTTCCATAATATTATATCACATTATGATATATTTTTTGAGACAGGGTCTCACTCTGTCACCAGGCTGGAGTGCAGTGATACAGTTATAGCTTCACGGAAACTATGCCACACATTTAGAAAGTCAAAAAACTCAACTAATAATAGATATTCTTAATGTTTTATTTCCTCAATGAAAGAGTTTCCTTTTGTTCTTCTGAATGAAAACTGTGATTTCCTTTTTTCCTAAATGTATACTTGAATCTTTTGCAGATGCATATTTTGCCTAGTTTGTGGAGACGTTCCTTTATTCAAAATATATAAGAATTGCTTTTTTAGGTGTTTATTTTCAAACTTTGATGTCTGTTTCCTAGTAAGAACAACCCCCCCAGCTTTCAGTGCCTCCCCAAATAAATTCTGGAATAGTTATGTTTTAGAAAGGTTTGGATTTACTCATATAAGAAAGAATCCCTAAAAGTTAATATGTTAAGATCTGAGGAGTGATGGCCTCTGCTTTTGGTTGGTGGGCAGTCTTCCTAATTTCTTCCCAAGTTAGGAGTTCATGTAAACAAACAAACAAACAAAACTATGTTTTTTATGAGTTTGTGGTTTCATTTCTACAATTGTAAAGATAATTAAATGTAATAATATCAGAAAACCATATCTATATGGTAAGTTTTCTGTGTTAGTTTGCTAGTGTTAATATTAGAAATAGTAATAGTTATAGTATTTGTGCTACTGATGTTAACCTTGTTATTAATCAGATTGTTGCATGAATGACTAAACTTTTTATAAAGGGAAAGAATTGAAATTCCAAGGAGTTGAATGAGCTGCTCATAATTATGAAAGAAGACACTGGCATAACTAGGTTAAAAATTGATGAACAGAAGCCTGACTCCTGCTTTCTATATATTAAACAATGAAACTTCTAATAAAAGAACTCTTAATCATTGGCTGCTCATGACATACTCAACAATGCCCTTAATTGCAAAACAGCTTCCATGTTTGCACATAGCTCTTCATCCAAAGGGCAAGATGTACATCATTTCTTTTAACTTTAAGTTCCCATCATTTGTTACTTTATTCATTCATGGAGTAGATATTTCTGAAGCCTGTGTGCTGTTTTAGGCACTAAGCTAAGTACTAGAGCAATAAATGAATAAGTCAGTGTTGCTCAGCACAAGAAAGCAGAAACCTTCAATATTGTTTCACAGGATGTGAAACAATATTCTCAGTTTCCATTGTGTCTTATCGCCATCCTCTTAAAAGTAGCTCCAAGTGCTTATGGCCACTGACCCACTTCATTCATTTATTTATTCAGTCATTCGTTCAGTAAACATTTATGGGGCGTCATTATATGCTATGGAGATAAAGTGATGAATAAAAAAAACATAGTGCTTCCCTTTCATGTACCTTAAGTATTCTGGTAGAATAGACAGATTAAAAAACAAAGAAACAAAACAATTACAAATTGTGACAAACACTATAAAAGAAACCAATATGAGAGAGAATAGGGGAGGGACCAACTTCAGAAAGGATGGGTCGTAAAAGTCTTTGGGGAGGTGACATTTATTCTGGAATCTGGAAGTTGATAAGGAACTAGCCATGTGAAGAGAATAAAATCATTTTCGTAAAACAGCAGCATATAAAGACCTTGAGGCAGGAATGAGCTAGGAGTTTTTCTACACAGAAAAGAGATGTGATCGAATTTGATTTTTAAGAATATAGTTTTGGCTGCTGCAGTAGTATGGGCTGGAGCAGGGCAAGAATAAAAGCTGGAACACTGCAGCATAATGAAGAGTCTGGACAGCCCAGGTAAGCCATAATGATAGTTAGGTGGTGGCAACAGAAATGAAGAGAAGCTAGAGGATGAAAGGTTTTGGAGGTAGAATCAGTAGGACTTGCTGATGGACTGAAAGTGCCAGAAAGGCAAAATTAGCAATCCAGATTAATTTCCAAATTTCTGGTTTGAGAAATTGGGTAATCGTTGTTGTCACTGACTGAGATGGAAAGTCCTGGATGTTGGAAGGCAGATTTGGGGGAGGGAGACAAAAAAGGAGTTGGATACAAAGAAAGAAAACATCTTAAAAGCATCTCTCATATTAATAATTTAGAAATTGAATCTTATATATAAGGACATGGGAACAACAGGGATTCTCAAAGAATATTTTGATCTCATTTTACAAGTAAGATGCTTGCACAAATCAGCAAAGATGTCACTGGTACTGTGTGACACCATCACCGCAGAATATTTCTTGGCTGGCATGGTATTAATTCCAATTACTCATTTGATGCTTAAATCTCCTTGGTGTATCCCTGCCAAGGGATCACACAGCCCATGGTGAAATAGCAATAGTTACAACAGGTGGAAAATAACACTAATATTTAATCCTTACGTGTGTCAGGCACTCTTGGAAGAGCTTAATAAAGACTACTTATCAAACATTTCTTCTAATACTCATAGGAATCTGTTTCCCAGTCTACCCATTCATTACTGTAGTATTTGGCACTGCACCCCGACAGCATGGTGCTAACAGAGTATATCCACAGGTGGACCTGTGGGCTCAGAAAGGTTTTCTTGTTACCGTTCTGGCTCCCTCACACTTAATGTCGCAGGGGTTTTGTTTGTTTCTCATTGGCTCATTGGTCAGCGACAAGGTGGGATGAAATCACCTCTGAATTATTCTCTAGCTCTAAGCTTCTACAGTTCTAAAATTTGTTACCTTCACTTTTAAATAGACAGAGGATATGTATAAGCTATGAGAGAATGAAACTGGTAAAGAGCTAAAATGACCCAGCTTTACATGTCCTATGTGTGGAATTTTATACTGAAACTTGTAACAATGAATGAAATCTTCAGTCATTTTAAAGAACAGAAGTGCCATTCATTTTTGTACCGTTTTTTTTTAGGTTTTTGTTTTTTTGTGTGGCTCAAATCCAGGTTGAATATATTGTGTACTGTTAAACAAAATACCTATTTTCAGAAATTCATATGATAAATACTTCCCTGAGCTCTAAGAAAAGTTATCCCTGCCAGTAGAAAATGTGTATTTTTCATACTAACTGCAAGTGCCGTGCCCTAGTTGAATGTTATCCTGGGAGAACTTCTGATGCTGAAAGGAGAGGATAGAAATGAGGCCAGGACATCACAGAGTGAAGGTAAGAGCAACAAATGCTCTTCCACTTACCAACTTCTCCACCCTGTCTCCTGCTTCAGCAAGAACAAAGGAGACATATGATGAATGATACCCATAAAGATACCCCAGTGTCTGGAGACCTAACATAGGAACTGTAGACTAATACCATGATTTATGCCACTAATGAGGAATCTGAGAGAGGACATAGTAACTCCACAAGGCCCTTTCTCCCGACATTTGCTGGTGGGGAAGACATACATAATTTATCTTCAAATTCCGTTATCATTGGCTGAGAGCCAGGGTAAAACTGAACCTGCAGGTGGCTCTTTTCATTATAGTCAATGGAGTGGAACTCAAGCAGTAATACGTGTTTCCCTTTTTCACTTTACTGCTAGGGCACTCAAGGCCCAAATCCGGAAAGCAGGTTACCTTAGGTGCCCAGCAGCACTTACAACTTTAATCTGAATAGTCCTATTTTATTTACGATTATTTTGTAATTGCTACTAATTACCTCTTAATGAGTCTGGTGCATTAATTGATGTTCTAAAAATATATAGAAAGGAATAAAAATTAATGCATATGTGCTTAATGGATCTAATATCATTATTTCAATTTGGCTAAATTATCTTGGTAATGAAGTGATGAGATGGGCATATGAGACACATATTCACTTACCCTGGGATTACCTTAGAGAAGAACTGTCTTCCTACAGTTAATACAAGGTCACACAGCATATGGATGATCATGATACAGGTTCAGAGCTGTAATTACAGACATTTCTTGAGATTGTTTTCAGCAGCTTGCTGTAGTAATGAAAAGATCTTGGGCTTAGGAATTGGTCCAACACAGGTTTCATGGCCTAACTTCACCATTGACCAGCATGTGATCTTGGTCAGGTCATTTAACTTTATTGAGCCTTGGTTTTCTCAGTGGTAAAAATGAGACTTATACTTCTCTTCTCACAAACTCATGAGAGAATTAAGCATAATAACTGTGTACAGCTATGTAGCATGGTAGCAGTCTTCAAACACTCAGTAAGAGAGCCTTCTTCTCTTACCTGTTTTCTGCATCTTCCAAATGCAAAAATCAGCATTTGGGGTTATGGAATAGACACTAAAACCTACAGGCAATCCCCTTGTTGCTCTCTGTTGTTTTAACAGCAGAGCTTGCATTTGTTTATTCTGTCCATGTAAACATTGCACTAAAGAAATCCATCAGCTATAAGCCCTTTTGTACCTCACAATATTTAAAATTCCTAACTCTTTGGAATGACATGAAGATATCTCTTGACAGCTGTTGCTTTTGACTCACTCACATAATGTTGCAGACTCTTACTTATCAATCATTTTAGACAAGAAATGGAAAAGCCCTCTGTTCTTCTCTAAGTCTACGTGGATAAATGTGGTAGACTAGCACGAGTTTCTTACAGGGCTTAGACTCAGCCTGAATATCCAAAATTACCAGGCAATATTTCAACATCTTGCTATTTAAATTTATAAAAATCCCACATGCACCCACCACCTTCTTTAAAATGAATCTGGGAAATTATTGTTTAAGTGTAGACACAATGTTTTAAAAGGCCTATACACAGGACTTTATGGGGCACACTGTGCTTTGGGCTGCTGAGGTTAATCTAGGCCAGTATATGGCTGCAAGTAGTTGACAAATTCCACTGTTGCTTCCTTTTTTTTTTCCTTCCATGAAGTTTAAAATAAACAATTAACCTATTTCCAATACAGTGTTTGGTATTGATTTAATTTAGCATGTGTTATTCATCTGCATGCCTCACAACGGTTGCTTAATTGTCTAAATCTTCCCGTGTAGAGTGCTGCCTATGGAATCTCTTTCCACAGAACACTCTTAGCAGAGTGTGGCTTACTATTTCCATAACATCTGTCTTTTCTACTAAAGAGCAGATTAACAATTATGCTCCTTTTAAAGGTGTGTTTGCGTGTGTGTGTGCGTGTGTGTATGGAAGGTTGGGCAAGATAAGTTGCTTCTTGTACAATTTTCTTTCTGGCACAATAGTTTGCAGTCTTATCACCAGGTCAGGGATTTTGCCTATACCCATAATGCTGCTGACAGGATTGCCCTTTTCTTTTGCTTATTATGCCACAGAATGCCACATTATTTCCATTAAATATGACTATCTTCGAGAGAGACAACATATGCAGCCCCTCCTCCTGCTCCCACTCCTCATGTCTCTCTCTCTCTCCCTCTCTCTCACACACACACACCCATACACACATACACACAAATGCATGCACACATGCACACAAAGCTCCTTTCAGTTGTGTTAAGCAGTAAAGCAGAAGGATTTTTTAAATTAGTGTTTTGTTTTGGCAATGGTTGCTGATATGTTCATGTAATACAGTTTTAATCAAATCCCCAAAGCTGAAGACCTTTCAGCATATCTTAGGCTGCACTGTGCAGGGCTTATTCCACTTGAAGTGGCCACCAGGGAGGTACAATTAGCTGTTCCCATGGAGAAGTTTGTTATAGTAATAAATAATAAGTAGCATAGGTAGCAATGGAATCAATTAAAGATATTTTTGACCGTCTAATGGTTTATGGGAATGCTAAATAATTGACAACAAGTTTTTGACTGTTTTCTCTCTGCATGCCTCCTGTAACTAAACACTGACCATGCACGTAGGACAGTGTCCGAGGTCACAGCTTTTTCTTTTGTAAAGCCATATTGTCAAGGGTATTCTATGAAAGACAGTTGCAGCCCTTACGTAACCAAGCTGATTTTGAGAGGGTTAAAACTCTGCTGTAAATATTTGCTGCAGGCAGAAATCTAACATATGAAGCAGGAGAACAAATTGTGTTATCAGTTTCAAAAACAATCTGTTTCGCCATTCATTTATTAATTTTTTTAACCAGCGTAGAGCAGAACAATAGGAGTTAGGTAGCTGAGAGGGCTTTGTGTTTTGTCTCTGGGTTCTACTGCTTTGAAGTTAAAATGGAAATTTGGCAAGTGGGACATTGGTAAAGTGCTCTAAATGCTTTTGGCATCTTGACAGGCAAAAAGGAAAAAAAAAATCAAAATGGTCAAGCTACCTTGGTTTAAAATTAGCAAGTGTATGTTCATGAATTGCTGTATAGATAAAATCTCAGAAGAAAATAGGATGGATGAGTTTATTGTGTGTATTTGGGGATGAATTGATACGCCACACATCACCTAAAGCAGGTCAGTGATCCATGAGCTTTGCAAGATTTACATGAAAAGGCACAATTGTTCCTTCGAAGTTATTGGGTAAGTGACATACAGTCACAATGCCAACATGTGGGTATCAATGGGAATTAGACTAAAATTTTGGCTAAATAAAGTTTAAATCACAATTATCATCATTTGATTAGAAAAAGTAGTTCTAGTTGATTTTCTGTTTTACAGATGTTTTTATAATTGTGAAAGTCCACTCTGTGGATTTATCTTAATGAAGAATGAGCCCACTCTATCCTTAGAGTTTCTATGAAGTCAGTATGAGCAATGCAGTATATAAGAGCAACAAAAACTGCTTCTATAGGCTGCTGGAGTGTGAAATTTATAAGTGCATGTTCCTGATACCTCAGGCCAAATGTATTTATTATAATAGTATCTTGTACTTTAGTTGGGGTTGGTAAACTATAGGACCATGAGCCAAATCTGTCCTACCACCTGTTTTTGTAAATAAAGTTTTATTGAAACACAGTGATGTTCATTCATTTATGTATTTTCCATGAATGCTTTATGGGATGATGGCAGAGTTGAATAGTTGCAACAGAGACTGTATGCATGATCCATACAGCTGAAAATACTTACTATCTGGTCCTTTAAATAACTAAGTTTGCCAATTCTAGACTTACAGAATTCCTTAGTCTGATAATTCAAAATTTACTTGTTATCTTCATCACATTCCTTTGAGAGGAAGTTTCTCGTTTCATTCTTCCCAGTCTTGTTTTTCTGTTCTGAAGACTGTAATGCAAGGAATTTGAGAATGATCAGAGGATCAAATAGAATACTAAAATGATTCATACTTGTTTCCTAACCATAGCTATTGATCGAGAGCATCAGTAGTTGTTGACAGAGTGACGTGACCAAAAGAGAGACACCTCCTGTTGGAAGGATTTGGCCAATTGCCTCAACTCAGTAGGGTATTACAAGTGACAGTATACATTGGAAGTTTATCAAAATGGTAAGGAACTCCAGAACGTGAAAGTGGAAATCAAACTAAGAGCAAAACAAAAGATTAAAAAAACAGATTGGCTCTAGAATTCAGATTGAGTGAGAAAATGTACAGGAACAAAGCAAAAGGCTCTAAAGGAATTGCTTGAATGTGGAGAAGTGGCTGGGGTTTATTTCCATTGGTTAATGTCTCCCTAATAATTATCCTGCAGAGGGTGAAGAATTTCTGCATTTTTACAGTAGTTATCTTCCATAGGAACATGTGGGCTAGTTCCTTTCTCCTTTACCACATTTTGGATGAGCTGGAGAGAGCTAGTAAAAAGAGATGAGAACATAAGACATAGAAGGGTGGTCTTCACTCTGAGCCCAGAAATCTCTCCACTCCCACCTTCATGGTGTGAACAAATGGAAACTACCCATATTTCCATTGAGTGTCTGAGTCTAGGGTCTAGAATGGTATAGATTTTGGAATTTTCTCACTTGTCACTTTTACATCTTTTTCAAGTAGGGAGAAATTAGTAAATATGACCAGAGGTTAGGATTTCTCCACTGAAAAAACAAAAACAATTTATTTTTACTGTTTTTATTATTAAGAGTTACTTGGTAAATAGAGAAAGAAAGAATCAAATGAAGAGAACAGATTGAGTGCCTCAATTCTTACCTTCTCTGGATGCAAAAAAGCTGAAGGTACCTATTCCCCATGTTCCAGCCACTCTGGACTTGTTTTAGTTCTTGAACGTTACCATGCCCTTTTTCTCTCTGCCCCAGGGTTCTCAACCCTTTTGGTCCAAATGACTTTACTTTTCTCTTTACTTCTTAGCCTCAATTCCCTCTGTTCTTTCTCCTCTTTTAAAATTCCCCTATTAAAAATAAAGGGAATGAATGAATGGCAAACCTGAGATCTACGCAAAGCATCCATAAGCATTCTTTATCTTGATTATGACCTCAGAAGTCACTGACCTCTGCTTTGTTTACTGGAAATAGTATATCTACTTACCATACTTCTTCCCTGTCAAGCCTATGCTTTTTCAACCACCTGAAATGCTTGCAAACTGGTAGTTAGGTTTTGCGTAAACATTTAAGAGTTTCCTTTTCTTTTCAGAAAGGGCTGTTAAGTACTATTTAGTTGGGTATTTTGGCGCATCCAATCATTTTTTTTTTTTTCAAATGACTTATTAAAAATCAACAACCCACATACGTTTTATATAACACAAGTAAGAATTCAGTTCTCCAAAGTCATTATCTCTACTCAGTGTTCTATAAAATTAATAGATTAGATACAATTATTAATCAAAATGAGAAAAGCAAAATAGGTGTTCGTTCACAGTTGTTTTGCCTTTGTTGTTATCTAAAGAACTCACCGATCTGCTTGTCAAGAAATTATTTTGAGTCCTTTCTGTGAGCCAATATTTAATCTTTAAAATTACAGCTTGAAGAAAGAAAAATTGCTCTTGGGTGTCAAGATACATTTGAAGTTGAAATGATCTTTGACTATGCTGTTTAATATTTCAGAACTGTGCTACCTCGTAGTTCATATCTACAACTCTTCTGCTAATAGGTGAAGATGACCTTTCTGAAGGAATGGGATCACAGATGTTTTTTTAGTTCACCTATATTTACATAGTCTTTAGGTCTTCTTTATGACACACTTGTCAGCAGGTATGTCAAATGTAGACCTGAATAAGCATCAAAATTTGAACAGGCACTTGGCCAAAGAGAGCCCTCTCCTCCTGATTCACTTTGTCATCTATCCCCACACGCTGGTCCATGATTATCCACTACTCCTGTCCTATCTGTTCTCCCTCAGTTTTATCTCATAGGTCCCCCTTTCACGCTATCTTACAACAACATGAGCAAAGGAGAATTGCCCAAATACATGATTTCATCTTATGCCTTTTCACATCTCTTTCCATTTTTACCCAAATCCTTCCTTTCTCTCTGATTTATTCTTTAAAGCCATACTTACATATTAGCCCTTTTTATAAGCCTATCTCAGTGCCCTACTCAGATGAAGTTAATTTCGCTTTCATCTAAGCTACTTCAGCATTTCCTTCAGATTTCTTTTGTTGTATGGGTCACACTGTTCAGCAACTGTGTGTTAAATGTCTGTCTATTCAGAGGTCAAGTGCTGGGACCTCTCTTTATCCCTACTACCTAACTTTGGGGTTGGCACATAGTAGGGATCCCAGATATCTGTAGAACTGAACTGATGAATAGATAAAAGCAAAATTCTATGATTCCTGGGAGATAAAACACAAAGCTTGGACCTTCTAACCAGTGTGAATTAACCTACCATAGACATTTTAAATTTTCAGTATAGTTTGACATTAAGTCTGTAAGAATTCATTTTGTTAGCACCTATAAAGTTGACTGTTGGGCTAAGATTATTGGAGATCGTGATTAGGAGATAGGGTGAAGTTTAATTCTTTACATGGCTGAACTTCAATCAGAGTCACTGAAATTTTAGGCCACATTTATTTATTTTAAAAAAGAGAGATATAATCTGGTATCTGCCAAACCACCAAATACACAAAAGTCCCTCCTTCTAATGAGTCACTTGAATGCAAAATCAACTGTAATTCAAGAAACCAAAAACAATAAAAGAAGTGAGTTTTGTCAGACTGGCCCAACTTGTTCTACCTGTTACAGACAAAGAAAGGTCTGATGAGGTCCAGGAAACGGAATTAGTTATACCTTAGGTTGCAAGGAGTATTCTGTGTCTCCCCCTACTGGTTGGTGGAATAACTTAATGGAACAACCCCCCAGGAATCTGAATGGCCATGATCTCCTGGCAGCTTTGTACCATCTGATCATTTGCCTCTGTGAACTTTCAATAAGGAAGGTTAGTCAGGAGTTCACTTAAGGATATTTTCTCTTATCCTCAGTTTTTAAGTCTGGCTAGTTAGCATTCTGCACTTCTTAACAATTCTAACTTCATATCTCATTGAAATAAACCATTAAGAAACCTATTCCTCACATATTTTAATTCCAGGCTATCACTACATTCTGATTACATCAAAATTGTTTTTAAAAGGTTTTGTTTGAAAATAATCCTAAGTGTTACCACAAGGGATACTGTTTCCTCTAGTCCTCAAGGGGTTGTGTGAGCCTGCTGTTAAATATGGGAATATTAAAAATAAATAAATAAATAAATAACAGGTCTCACAAAAAAAAAAAAAACAGATAAGATAAATTCACAGAAAATTTTGAGAAAAAGGAATTACAGAAAATTTATTTATATTATTCCCTTATGTTTATTTGTTATATATCTAACAGATTCAAATTCTAAAATAGTTTCAGAAGCTTATTATTGTGAGTATTCATGACGAGAGTTGAGACAATCCGAAGACCTACAAAGAAGATATTGTATGATAGATAATTTACAAACCAGAAAATGTTCTCATTCAGTGGTGACAGCACCAACACCCCCAAGGCTTGCCATTATCAGCTTTGAAGTATAGGCTATACAACAAATAATAAGAAAAACTGAGAAGAAAAAATTTAAAATGGGTAGAAAATTCTCATATCTAAGATCAGATATGAGAACCAACAGTGAAGCACCAAGAAGTGAATGCAGTACTGAGCATGAAAAGCAACACTAGAAAAGAGGAAAGAAGATAAAACATGAAGAGAATGTTTTTTGGAAAGTACAAAGGGCATAAGGGAGAATACATTGCAAAAGTCTTCATAGGTCTGGCTACTTTGAAAGACATCTAAGCTAATGGTTAAAATGTATTCATTATATTTTGTTTACTATGTTAGGGAACAATGTTACGCCTTTTAAGGAGAGTTAGATTAGAAATAATATAAACTTTTAAATTTATTCATACCTATTTATTGACGTATTATTTGTGGTATGTTAATTCCTCAAACTATTCTAGAAATATCAGTAGCTTGAGGAGAGGATTTGTTTTTCATGTGTGCCTCAGTCCAGTGCTGATCACGCTGGGACAATGCTCCTTCTAAAATAAGGTGCTACCGTCTTTAACAAATGGCCTTCAGATTTGCTGAGCAGAAGGAGAGAGAGCATCATGAAGGTTTTTATGGACCAAAGTTGGAGGTAGCTTATTTATGAGTTTTCTACACACATTCCATTGACCTGAAATCAGTCACAACTCGGCTCTAACTACCAGAGGGTTCTGGAAAATGTTGATTTCCTACTTGCTCAAGAAAAGAACATGAATATTGATCAGCAAAAACATTGTCTGTGTAAGGGTCTGGAGATTCATTAGTGGTTGGCAGGTGGGAGGGAACAGACAATTCCACATTAAAGGACAGAAAATAGACCACAAATGAAGTGGAGAAGTTAAATGCACAGTATACTAAACGGTGATATGTGAAAACTAAAGCACCCATGTAAGGAGGATAGATAGCATGGCAGGAGTCAGTTACTACTATGTTACTCCCTTGCCAGAGGAGGCAGGAAAGTTAGTCAATATGTAGAGGAAGGACATTTCAAACAGGCAACACTGTTAAGTCCAAGATCCTTGACTCAAGGGGATGGCTGGCATATTTGAGAAACAGCAAAAAGGTAAATGTGTCTGGGTGGAATGAGCTGCTGCTGCTGGGGGCATTAGCAGAAGATGAGAACACTGAGATATAGGGAAGGCAGATTTTATGGTGTTTGTAGACCATCGTGAGCACTTTCAGCTTTTTTTTAAGTGAGACTAGAAGCACTGAAGGGTTTGAGAAGAGGACTGACATGCACAGATCTGCTTTCTATGGTATCACTCTGGTTGCTGAACTGGGAGTAGAATGTAAAGGACAAGTGTGGACATAGGCAGACTAATTAGGAGACCATTATAGTCATCACAGTGAGGGACAACTGAATCAGCCTGGTAACAGTAGAAGTGATAAAAAGTGATTGGATTGTAGATATATTCTGAAAGTAGGGTCAATAAGATTTGCTGATTGAGTGTACATGTGGTACAGAGAAGAAGAACCAAGTAGAACTCCAAGATTTTGTGCCTTAGCAAACATAGATAGAACAGTGTGAGAGGAGCAAGTTTTTTAAGGTAAAATAATGATCTTGCTAGGAGGTAAGCTTTTGACATGTTAAAGTTGAGAAGGTTATTTGTCATTCCCATAGAAATGCTGAGATGACCCTGAAAACAGTGTCTCTGGATTTCAGTGGAGAGGCCTGGCTGGAGATAGAAATTTGTTAGTTATCAGATTCTAGTCAGATGAGATCATGAAGGCAATGAGAGAAGAGCTCCCGAGAGCTGAACTTAGAGGCGCTGAACATTCCAAAGTTTGGTACATGAGGAAGACCCACCAAAGGACAGGAAAATTTTGTGGCTAGTGAGGTAGAGCGAAAACCAGTTGGAAGCTAAGGAAAGAAAATGCTTCAGGAAGAAGAGAGAGATCAAATGTAACAAAATGCTGCTGATAGATCAAGTGAGAGGTAAGAAATGAGATTAGCCCATTGGATTTAGAACGTGAAGGTCATTTATATTCTTGACAAGAGCTTTGTTTCTATCAGGTGGTGAGAATGAACTTGGCTAGAGTGGGTTCCAAGAGAATGTGAGATGAATTGGGATAAGTGTAGATAATACTTGTTTTGCTGGAAAAAGAAGGGAAGAAATGAGGTACTGGCTGGATTAGAAAATGGATTTGAAGATTTGTATCTATCTATCTATCTATCTATCTATCTATCTATCTAAAGATAGGGACATAGGACACACAGTAAAATTTAAACTTCAGATAAACGTATGTATGAGAAAGATTCTGTAGACAAGAGATGTTATAGGAGAAAGCTGACACATTTCTAGAATAATTTGCTTGAATTGACAAAGGCAGATGGGATCAAGTGCACAAAGAAAGGGGGGCTTTTCCTGGCAAAGGGAACATCATCTCAGTAACAGGGAAGAAGGCAGTGACTTGACCTAGATAGAGGTAGGTGGTGGGGGTGGGAGTGGGTGTGGGAACTTGTGGAACTTCTCATCGCGTTGCCTCTATTTTCTTGACAAAATGAAAGGGAGAACAAAGGAGGAACGGTTAGATATTTGAAGAGAGAAAAGGTATAAACTGGTGACCTAGGAAAGCAGGACGGTGACTGGACTGGGGAAATATAGTGTGATTGGCCACATGAAGGGCT